CCCATGCCACCCCCGGATCCTCCCCCACAGCATCCGGAGGATCCTCCACCACCTCCACCTCCCATCATGCCCTTTGATCCTGAAGAGCCACCACTGGATCCCCCCCCACAGCATCCAGATGAGCCTCCCCCTCCTCCTCCACCTCCGGAGCTAATGATGATCTTCTGGCTGCCACCGCCGGATCCTCCTCCGCAGCAGGATCCTCCTCCTCCCCCTCCTGAGCCCCCGCAGCAGGAGGAGCCCTGGGACTGATAGCTGGAGGAGCTGCCCCCGTGGCAGCAGCAGCAGCAGCTGTGGCACCCGCCGGACATCCCATGGCAGCTTTGCCTGGAGCACATCTCAGCAGCCACCCTGCAAGGAACAGCTCTTTACCCAGGGCAGCCACCACCCTGCCGAGGATTCCCCGCAGCAGCCCAACAACACTGTGCAATGTCCAGAATCATCATTTAAAGCCTTTTATCCCAAAGCTGTTCTGTGTCCATCTCTACACTGGTGAAAGACTTTGAGGAGCACAGGATGATCCCTCTTCTGCTGCGTCCACAGGAGATCTAAATCCATGTGCCCTCCCACCTCCACCCACCAGGCCAACTTCACCAAGCATTTCTGCAGGAAGGGAAGAGGAGAATCTCTCCGTGGGGCAGAACTGGACTTACCCTTCTGGGCTCTGACCACGTTCCCCACAGAGCAAAGCCGAGCGAATGAAGCCCCGGGAGAGCCCCCAACTTTTATATTGCTTTTCCCAGGTGGGAAGTGAGGCATCCAAAGGAATGGTGATGGGTTTATTTACTGAGCAGTGTCCTCCTTCAGCCCACTTGTCCTGACTCACGGGATCAGAGCGATGCCTCTCTGGTGCATCACTTCCTCGGCTGCGCCGCAGGTCCCGCACGTGAGCTCCGCTCCCGAGGTTGAATTCCCAGGTAGGATTCTGGGACTCGGGTCAGCACCCTCCACTCCAACCAGGAGATGCTGCTGGGGTGGGGACCGACAGCAGAAGGGGCTGTGGAGCCTCCTGTTCGTGGTGTGTTACAGGCTGGGGACACATGGGGGGGTTGTTGGGGTGTCCTGTGCCAGGAGTTGGACTTTGATGATCCTCGTGGGTCCCTTCCAGCTCAGGACATTCTGTGATTCCATGATTCTTGGCCCATGGAGATGCCCAGGGAAGTGGAGGGGTCTGCACTGGGTGGGAGTGGTGCTGCTGGGGCAGCAAAGGAATCTCCCATGGCTGGATTCCCCACTGCCCCAGCGAAGGGTGGACCATGACTTGGGTTTGACTCCACCACTGGGGACAGGGCAGAGGTCAGGCAGGTTTGATG